TTGAGATCAGAGTCGCCGTCACCACGGTCATAAAACCTAGCTGTGCGGCCAGTGTTTCAGATCACAATTTTACATTATTCAGAGGTTAACCGCTTCAATTTTATTGAGTAAAAAAAAAAAAACAATACCAAAATATGTCACAGACATACCGTTTCATCGCTAGAAGCAAAAATAGGTCAGCTAGTTAGTTAGGCCACTAGCTAGCTAGTTTGTCAAGGCACTTTTATGGAAATAGCACGTTACACATAAGGCAAGTCAGTGTTTCACACAACCTAAAGCGTAACACCTGAAAGCATTTCAAAACAGAGCAGCTGAATACATTCACACAGCAAAGCGAATGTTTGCATGATAAACCAAAGTAGCCGGCTTCATTTTTACTCGGCGTTTCTTTTAGTTAAACAACAAAAACAAATGTAAAGATCCAAACCAAAAATGCGGAGTTCACAAAAAAAAAGATGCTCGATGTCAGCTTAGGGAGTCCTATCAGGCCGTCGGATTGGGCGACTTTAAAAGAGACACTTGGAAGCTAGCTAGGATAAGAAGTTAATTTAGCAGTCCACATATTTATTCTCAGTTCCTTGTCAAATTATAAAAACAAATTGGACTGAATTATAGATAACCAGTAACTGAAGACCCAAATGAGTAAATTGTTCACAAAACTGGCTTAATGCTAGCTAAGGCCTATCAAGCCAAAAGCAGGAAGTCAGAATGCCCTTGTAACTCGAATGTCTCCTTTTTGAAGGTCAACCGCAAAATGTGAAAACATGACACTTTTGATAGAGCAGCTGCTAGCCGGTCTGCAGCTAGCTAGCTAGCTAGCTAGTTATCTACTGTGAGACGCTAAGAGAGAAGTCTCCATCTTTACTACGAGCTCCGTGTCAAATAACAACAACAAAAATCGGGAGTCAGTGGCACAGCGGCCGTCAAAAGACATTCAAACATTCCAGTTCAAATCGTTTGTCCACAAGGCACAGCAAGGAACCTTTACTTGTAGCGAGCATTTCATACAGAAGGTCAGTCAAGATTTGAAAGCATTGAATGACAAAAAAAGAAATAAAAATAAGATATTTCATATCAAGGCAGAAAAAGTACAAAAAGCATCACGATGAATGAATGACTGTCCTGTCAAAACATGTGGAAAAAAAACTCCCACCAAAATAGTAGCTGTACGAATCGCAAACAACCGTGCTGAATCCTTTGACGTTGTCTGAAAGGAAGTCGAGTGAGGAGCGCGAGCAACATTTGGCTCCTACTCTGAATTTTACAAGCTTCTAAAAGGTGTTCTGACATTTGGAATCTCTCACGCAAACCTTTTGAACAGCACATTTGACATTTTGTGCCACAGCAGCTCAATGCGGCACCAAGACAAACCTGGCAATAAACTCTCTCTCCCCTGTAATATTTCACCGTGCGGCACAGAACCTATATTCATAATTTTATACGGCGATATTACCTCACTTCAACAAGTTTAGCATGTGTGAGTGTCGAGCCGAAATTCATGCTGCGCACAAAACCCCTCGTGTCAGTTTTTCACCTTTTTCTCCGCGCAGGGAGCAAGAAAAAGAAACACATTTGGCCGCAACTGTCTTAGATTTGTCACTAAAGTGGGCCACTATCACACACGCCGAGTCGCCCAGCAGGCTGTGAAATGACTTCCTAGGTGTGTGTGTGTGTGTGATAGTTTCTGAGTGTTTTGTGCGAGAGTGTGCGAATGTGAGCGAGCAGCACCAAGCGTTTATTTGTGAACGTGCGTACTCGCAGGTTGTCCCAGGCCACAGGGTGAGGCAAACGGTATCGCTTTGATTCAGGATCTAATGGGAAGAATTACATCAAGTGAAACTATCGAAGATGCCTGACAGACACTTTGTCGAATGTAATGGGTGATTTTGTCGATAGTGTTAGCCACATGCTAGTTATGTTAGCATCTGTTTGGTGAACTCAATTGCGCAATTCATATTTGGTTGCTTTTAGTTCTTCTACCTGTACTACGGTTATCGTCACACTTTTCCTCTTTGTCAACACTGGTACTCTTCTGAGGTGGTCTCACAAAAATGCCTAAAAAAAACACAAAAAAAAATCGAAATATAACAATGTTAACTCAACAAAGCACGTTGTTTCCACCAAAACAATTTGTTAAGTTGTTTTAACTTTATTTACTAGCTTTAAGTTGGGGCGCAATAGAAAGGACAACAACTTTTTTTTTCTTTGTGGAAAATGCAGGAAAGCCAAGTTTCACATCAGCAAAATTTAAAATATTTTGATGACTCGGCCAACTTAAAATGTTATCGAAATTTGTTGCCTTGAAATTTTTATAAAATGTTTCTTTTTACACTGTACTATTTAATTTATTAAACAAATCTGTGGTTTTATTTTTTTCTATTTGAGAGTATGATTTATTTGATAGAATATTTTAATCAATTCATAATGGGGTTTTTTTCAAGATACAGTAAATTAAATTAAAGAATACAATAAAGTACATTAAAAAAATAAAATCAGCAGTTGAGGATTTTAGGCATTATTTTTTAAATAATCCAATTAGCCAATTAGTTTATTTTTTTTATTTCTATTTACTCGATGATGTTTTCTAACATCAATATCCATTTTTTTCCCCCATTGAAATACCATTGAACAAAACAAAAATAAAAACATAACGCCATTTTGTGGCTGCCTGTCACCGAAATGAGCGCTCCCATTCATCAGGAAAATGAATAATACATGAAAATAAAAATATTCCAGCTTGATACGTATATGAAAATCCCGAGATGGCAAGTCATGCATAAAGAAAACCTGCACAGATGAAAGCCTGACATTCTTTGTCGGACCTCCCAAGAATCTCCAGCAGCTGTGTGCACACTTCACGTTCCATTTTCATGACTTGGGAGGACACACACACACACACACACACACACACACACACACACACACACACACACACACACACGCACACACACACACACACACACACACACACACACACACACACACACACACACACAGCCAGTGCTGTCCCCGGCCCAAATTAGCATGCACACACTCCACCTCAGCTTTATTGCAAACTGACTGGAAGAAAAAGACGCCCAGTCGTGAAGTGGGAATATAAATCTCAGCAAAATATTTTGGCACGCAAACGGGTTATCAGCATTACGGCGTCCAGCCTGGCAGCGCGACGTGCAATTGCTTTGACGCCGGCTGCTATCTTGCAAAAGAGAGCCGCAGTTGAAACAACACAGTTCATTTTCTCCAGGAAAATACAGCCCTTTATTTTCCAGTGGAAGCGGCTTTTGTTACGGAAGCGGTTTTAACACCCCCTGACCACCGTATGTGGCTTTACATTCGTTGGATTGATCAGTGCGGACAAGTTCGGTAGCGCCTCAACTCATACAAGTGATCTGAGTTTTTTTTTTTTTTTTTTTTTGAGATGTGGGCCGAGGTTTTGATTTTTGTTGCGAGCGACGATGTTGAATCCGAGCGCTAGCAAAGGTGGTATCAAACTTTACAGCAAACAGCAGAATCCCAACAAGGGTTAAAAAAACCCCAAGTGCTTCTTTCAAACTGCTTACTGCCACACCTAGTTGGAATTTACTGTGAAAGACAACATAAAACAAACCTACTTACATGTTGAGTATTTTAAGGCGGCGCTCCAAGAAAGCTTGCATGACTTCGTCTTGAGGGAGTATTGCCAAACATGAAATGTTACCGGTGTGTTGTTGTTATTGTTGTTGTTTTCTTTTTTAAATGTACAATCAACGAAAACACAAAAGGGCTGCTCAACTTACCCGATGACTTGATGCGAACGGTCACGCGAGCGCCATATGCACACTTTCTGCCTCATTAGCTAATTTTGTCACGCCGTCACACGTTTAGAAATCCACGATAATTAAAAATTGAATGAGAGGCTTAAGATTGGGCCAGAGACGGATGATTTCCAAAATATCATTTGAATAATGATCTATCATCTGTCATACTGAGACTTTTGATTTGACAAAATATAACAGAAAGTACCACAGTACTGGTTTATACATTTTTTTTACTTGGCTATGAAATATGATAGAATGTAAAATCAATATGCTACGAATGTGTCGGGATATTGATACATTAAACGCACAAGTGAAATAAAAACAAAAGATGAGACGAACTCATTCAAGAGAAAGCCTTTTTATGGACGTAAAGCATTTTTCTCAATAAGCAACATCCATCAAATCAAAACTACGGGGGCGAACATTCTAAAATTTGGAGTGGTTGAAGTGGCCACAGATATTTTTGTGACAATTGATCGCAATTTTTGGACACCAAAGTGACATTGAGCTTTTTCTATGGAGAGGAAAACGCCTAGCGTCCACTAAAGTATTGGTGCAATCATTGTCATATATCCAGAGGTTGAAGTGGGCATAAGACGAGATGTTCACGCATATTTTGGTGGCAATTGTTCGTAGTTTTCGGACAACGCAATGCCAATAGTCTTCAAAATATCGAGGCAGTCGTTCAAATATTTTTCTGAGATTGAAGTGAGCATATCTTGATTTCCACATACATTTGATTGATTTTGTTCTCACGTGTAGCTTTTTTTAATTTTTATTTTTTCCATGAAGCGTTTTAAACTGTCCCTCAATGACGTCATCGAATAATCGACTCACGCCTGACTTTCATCACATGACAGTCGACTGCAAAAAATGTCTAGTGGAGACTTGACGACACTTTTTCCATTTCCCATTTTGATTGTTTTAATTGTATGTCTCACAAATATCGTATTGAAAAAATAAACATTGACTGGAAGCATGACTTTACTGGGCTGTGTTGCAATTTCCGTACAAATGGCGGCTGCGTGCGGTTGTGAATGAACAAAAACCCTTCCGTTACCCACCGAATTTGCCATTAAAATTCAGGAAGGGGTAGTCTCCGTGAGAGGTTACATTATTGGCGGGAGGGAGGACACACACACACACACACACACACACACACACACACACACACGCACACACGCACACACGCACACACACACACACGCACACACACGTGCGCGCGCACGCACGCACGTACGCAGCTGGTGCGCCTGACTCCATCAGACAGAGAGCCGGGCTAGTCCGAGCTTCGAGCTGCTCGTCTTTTGTTTTTTTTAGGGGGGTGGTGGAGTGTGTTGATTTGAAGAACTTTACGGAGGTGAGACGCGGGATGAACGAGAGTGTGGAAGAATAACTAAATCGGTCGAAATTGGTGAGAAAAAGGAGCAGCATTAAGTCCCGTTGAAGCGGTGGAGCCGGGAGCCAAGGGGGAGCTATGCCATCTCCCGCAGAGCGGAGCCCAGTCCTCCTGCGTCGCGTGTCGGAGCTGCAGCATGGTGCCCCTCTCCGGACCCTGGACCCACCGCCTCGCCCCCGGGAGAGCCCCGCGCCCCTTCCTCCTGCCCCTCCTGCTGCTCCTGCTGCTGCTGCTGCTCGGCGCCCTCTCGTCGCCGGAGCCGTGCCTGCTCCCGCCGGCGTCGTGCCACATCCTCGCCCGGATCGGACACACGGTGCGCCTCGGCGCGCTGCTGCCCGCCCGCCAGCCGGCCCGGATACAGAACGCGCTCAACCGCGCCCTAGCTAGCCTCCGGCACCAGAGCGCCGCCGCCGCCGCCACCTCGGACTCGTCCACCGCCTCCACCACCCCGGGCAGCGGCAACCCGGCGCGGAGCCTCCCGCTGCTGCCCTACAACCTGAGCCTGGAGGTGGTGGCTCGCTCCCCGGCGGGATGGGACCCGGCGTCGCTGTCCCGGTGCGCCTGCCAGGAGCTGGCGGTGCGCGGAGTGAGCGCCGTGCTCGCCTTTCCGCGCTCCAGCGAGGAGCTCGTCCAGGTGGAGTTCCTCTCCAATTTCCTGGAGACCCCCTTCATCTCCATCCTGGAGGACACGGAGCCCCTTGTCACCAAGGTGCGTGCGTGACGACGCCACACGGGAAGCGTTTTATTTGCGTGACGCTTGTTGCCGCACTTGTGCTCCAAACTGTTTATTGTTGTTGCTTTTTTTCCAAGGCTGATTATCTTGGAAGTGGGGGGGGGGGCACTAAATGTCAGTGAAATCAATGCGCTGCAGGAAATTGCAACACTAATAAGCACATTGAGTACATCCGAACATCAATAGTGATTTTTTTTTTAAAGCGGTGATTCACATCCAGTCATCAGACGCTGCATAGGAAATAAACCCGTTGTTCCGAAAATAATTATTTCCCGTGAATATCACACTGCAACACTGGGAGAGTATTTTTGATTGACAGGCGAAGAATTCACTGAGTTGCTTTGAAACAATTTGGACTGCAATTGCCTCCCGCGGCCACTGGAGCGGGAGGAAATGTTCCGATTGGCTCCAAATGTCTAGACTCAGCGCACACGAGGCCCCGCCCCCTTGCTCCAATCAGAAATGTGGGCGAGCGACTGATGTTCTCGTCAAATAAAAGTCGACTTTTTTTTTAACCTGTAGCCATTTATAAAACTGAATTATAGCTTTGACTTTCCAATCAACAGATCCGCACAAATTACATTTGTGAGTAAATTAAGGTACATCAAACTTTTTATTTTTTATTTTTTTTTAACTTTTGAGATCAATTTCGGTGTCCTTTCAGTGCCGGGTGAACCTGCGGGCCCCTCCACATGCATGTTTCATACCTTCACTTTGCATTGAACTCTCAAGCCCCTCCAGCAGAAGCCGCTTTTTCTTTACTGTATTTTTATTATTCTTTCAAGCTGTCTCTGCAATGTCTTGACTGTGTGTGTGTGTGTGTGTGTGTGTGTGTGTGTGTACGCACGCATGCGCGCAAGATGAGATGTTTAGTTCTCCTCTCCAAGTGAATCATTGCAACAGTTGAGTTGCTGATAGATTGACACTCCCGAGTCGTGCAGCGCCTGCTTCCTGTCGCCGTGTGTGTACCAATATTTATGTGCTTGTGCTGTGTGTGTGTGTGTGGCCTGCTCCACACGCACACAATTTATGGATAGGATCCACTATAAATGTTGAATACTTCCGAAAGTCATCCAGGAACATTGGAATTTGCCGATGGGGAGGTGGGGGGGGGGGCATGCCTCAGAATTCAAACTAAACTTGGATGTCAAACCATCATGACACGTAAATTCAGCAAGTCTCGCGAGGCGTCAGCTCAGTGAGCTTCTAAAGCAAAGGTGTCAAACTCAGTTCCTGGAGGGCCGCTGTCCTGCATGTTTTTTAAGTCAGGCAACACACCTGATTAAAATGAACAGGTTCAATATCAGGCTTCCGCAGACCTTGCTGATGATCTGATCATTTGAATCAGGTGTGTTGCAACAGGGAGACTTGGAAAACATGCAGGAAAGCGGCCCTCCAGGACCGGAGTTCGACACCTGTGTTCGAAAGGATTAACTGGTTGCCTATTATGTATATTTTTGTGGTGAAAAGTGACAATGGGACGTTAACCATAGAACAGGAAACGGAACATTTGATCGTCGGTGACATCAGCAAATCTGGCGAGAATTTTTATATATATATATATATATATATATATATATATATATATATATAATATTTTTTTTTTCTTCAAAAATATATTTTTATAAGGCACACCTTCACTGAACGGCATACTTTAAAACCATTTTCATGTATAGCATTATATAGCACCGCATTATAAGGCACATAGAATAGAAGCTACAATAGTTGCTGTGCTTCCTTGATGCATCCACTAGATGACTCCAGAATACAATTCAGCTTTATTATCAAGCTTTCACAACCGCTGCAGCTGTAACAAATTGCCTTGCAGAACATTTAAAATACTAACTCCAAGAAATCAGAATATTGATCCATATATAACGCACATCGGATTATAAGGCGCATTGTCGGCTTTTGAGAAAATGGAATGCTTTTAGGTGTGCCTTATCGTGCGGCAAATACGGTAGGTGTTTTAGTAGTGTCCTTGAAATGCATCTCTCTTTTTCTTCTTGGGCACAGGCTCTCGAGTTGAATCTTCAAAGGGCTTTTACCCCATTGAAAGAAACTTTCCAAAGACATCTGTTCATTTTACTCATTTCGTTAGCTTGTGGATTTAATATTAGCGTTACAGAGACGACGTGTCAAGAGTCAATTATTGACGAATATAATGGAGAGAACTTGTTCACTTTTCAAATCATTTTTCAGCCCCGGATAATAGACAAATCGGATGTACTGATTTTTTTCCTTTCATCTGTGCGACCCATTGCGGCCTGTGGCCGGGACTACGGTCTCATAGTACAAATGGTGTTTGTTGATTGTGAAATATACATTGGCACAACACAGAATGAGCACAAGTCACTGCAAAACCTGACAAATGTTTCTGATGGGTTTGTGTTGATTTCTTTATAGTGTCAGCCAATGAGTTGCTTTCTTGTGCAGCATTAATGTATGCTTTGGGGGCGGGGTTAATTCCTGTCAGTATTCACACATTTCATAATTGAGGAAATTGAGATTAAATATTGGATGGATGTTGAAGTCCCTCATCTACCAGCAGCTTTCTAAGTCATAGTTCTAGACCAGTGGTTCTTAATCTGAGTTCGATCGAACCCCAGGGGTTCGGTGAATCAGTCTCAGGTGTTCGATGTAGCCTCTGCCATGGAGGTGAAGACACACCCAACTCAACATGTCAATTAGTTATGAAACGCCCGCCCGGCCATCACTGGCTGCAGATGATCACATTACATTGCTTGTCCAATCAGTGCTCAGTCGTCAATGAGGGACTGTCGTGATAGTACGTTGTGTGATTTAAAAAAATTATACTTATGCCATGTAATTTTATTTACTTTTTTCTGTTTTTAATGTATTTTTTTAATGTCTTGAATTTGTAAAAAAAAAAAAAAAAATCCCATTTTTTTTTTTCACTAATGAAGGGTTCGATGAAAGTGCATATGAACTAGAA